TTAAAGAAATGGGTATGACACAATATTCAATTTTCCTGATGTGTAATCTGTACTCAAAACAAGAGGCTACCTTCAAAACCACAATACAGGCAAAAAATAGACTTGAAACAAAAGTCAAGGAAGAATGTGCAAAGACAGGTTTCAGTTCAACATTCAACATTAAGAAAACAAAAATATTGACCACAGAAGACTTGCATAACTTTAAAACAGACAATGAAGACATCAAATTACTTAAAGGATCTCCATACAGACAACCCCCAGTTACGAACAAGATAAGTTCTGTAGGTTTGTTCGTAAGCTGAATTTTGTTTGTAAGTCAGAACAGGTACATTTTAAAGTGTAACTCCAGCCTTTTTTTAAAAGTTTTGGATACCCTAGCGAAGGGCAAACACTCATGTGGTGTTTGTTTTGCTGTTGTACCACTGTTCAGAAGATTTCACCTCACTTTCTGTCCTTGTGATAATTGGATTTGGGAAAATGTGGCTTGTTGTAGAAACAAGAATTGGTGAGAAAGCTTCATTTGAGACACCTTTTTCCCATGATAACTTTTTCAAGAGGTAATTTTCCTTCCAAGGGGTAGATTTCTCTCACTTCCTGCTGTCTCACCCCGCTCTTAACTATGAGTCATTTGTAAGTTGAATGTTTGTAACTTGGGGACTGCCAGTACATTGTTTCAGCCATTAATTAGAATAGAGACAGCAGTCAAGAAATCAGACGACTAGAACTTGAAAGGGAAATTCTGAAGGAAGTAGATAAGATCCTGAAGTGTAAAGATAGTATAGCTGAGTACTAAGGTTAGGATTGCTTCTGCAATTGTATTTCCATTTTCTATGTACGATTTTGACAGCCAGATAGAAAAGAAAGCTGACAGAAAATCAACTCATGCAATGGTGTTGCATTTCTTCAGATACCATGGACTGCTTAAAAAAGACCAATAAATGGGCCAGAGTAAATCAAGCTTTAACTATTCTAGAAGCCGAAAAGCCTAAACTGAGACTGTCATATTTTGGACAGCTATGATTCAGTAGAAAAGATAATGCTTGGAAAGAGAGACAACAGTACAAAGAGAGGGAGACCACATTGCAAATAGATTCAATCAAGAAAGCCATTCTTAGAGGTCTCTTATTTATACAGTCACTATGATTTGAAGCTGACATCTATGCTACCTTTCCATTTAAAATAATTTGTATTCTAAGCCATTTAGATGAACCTCTACCTCTACTTCACTGCATTAAATAGGGACAGGCAGTCTCGAAGAGAAATGTAGGAGAGGGACATGGTCCCACTTAGCCACCACCAGCCCATGCTTGAAGCTTCTGGAGCATGCCATTTGTTATTTAAATGTAATTTCAACTTCCCTTAGGGCAGTGGTTCTCAACCTGTGAGTCCCCAGGTGTTTTGGCCCACAACTCCCAGAAATCCCAGCCAGTTTACTAGCTGTTAAGATTTCTGGGAGTTGAAAGCCAAAGCATCTGGGGACCCACAGGTTGAGAACCATTGCCTTAGGGCTTATTTTGAGTTCAAGAAATCATAGTAGACACACTTCCTGTTTCAAAACAATCATGGTGTAGATTAGGTCAGGGCAGGGGTTCTCAAACTAAGGCCCGAGGGCCTGATGCAGCCCTCCTAGGTCATTTACCTGGCCCTTGCTCAGGGTCAACTAAGTCTGAAATTACTTGAAAGCACACAACAACAACAACAATCCTATCTCATCAGCCAAAAGCAGGCCCACACTTCCCATTAAAACACTAATAAGTTTATATTTGTTAAAATTGTTCTTCATTTTCATTATTATATTGTGTTTACATTTTTTTTGCACTACAAATAAGATATGTGCATTCATGTATTTTTCCCAAATTATAATCTGACCCTCTAACAGTTTGAGGGACTGTGACATGGCCCTCTGTTTAAAAAGCTTGAGGGCCCCTGGGTCAGGGGGTCAACATTACAAACATTGCAAATGGAAACTTCTAGAGCCTTTTTCAAGAATAATTTTGGGCAAGGGAGAGAAGAAGGGACCAGGGCAAAATAAAACTTGACGGCATACCCAAACAATCTGTTATTTGATAAGTGCAACATTTAAGAAATTTCCTATCTCATATCCCAGTTTCCAACCACATTAGCATTTTGTTCCAACACAATTAAGCCATGATTTCAAACAGCATGGTCTTCTTTGAGTTCACATTCTTACTGATTCAGCACTAAAGAAATTAAAACTAATCACTTTGTAAAATATGGTTTCAAATTCACTTGTTTCCAGTGGCAGAATTACAACCAATTTACCAAAATTAGTCTGGGTTCAAACCCAGCAAAATATGGTTTATCAAACAATGAAACAAAAGCTTCTAAAGCCTCAGAGCTGTGAAGAACACATGTGGGAGCATGGACAGAGGGTAGGCTTCTTCTTTTAATGTTGAGCTGTTTCTCATTCCACTACTGGGATTCTTTTGCTGAATCAGAACTGTCCTAAAAGTAAAAGGAATTTTACATCCAATTCATTTTTCTTCCAATCATATACCTCTTATACTAGGCTTGCGACAAGAGAACAAGTGCAGGGCTTTCAAGCAACGAAAGCTTACTTTGATAGCTATAATAGCCAAAACTATAATGAAAACTCAAACTGCTTTAATCGTGAAATTTGATCCTATAGATGCCAACTAGAATGCAAGTGTCAGAGGTTTCCAGATATATCTATAGAACCTTAAGGCTAGAATTCTAGTAATGGGAACAAAAGTCAACACAATACTTAACAACAACTTTCTTTGGGGGGGGGGGGGAGGCTAAGCAGAGACTGGATGGCCATCTATTGGGGAGATTTTCACTGTGCATGGAAGAGGGTTGGACTGGATGGCCTCATGGTCTCTTCTAACTCTATGGTTCTATGAAATGACAACTGCAATGCTCTCCTGGTCACAAGAGCATTAAAAACAAGCAGCTGGAGAAAGTAACCTAAGGTGGATTTGGGGACCATGTTCAAATGTATATTATCATAAACATGAATTCTCAGCAGATTGTAAGTTTAGTGTATGATCTTCTAATTGCTGACAGGATTGCTGCCCTTTTTCTTTTTCAATATTTGAACAGAACTCACTATTCTTGCTATTGTGTGTCTAGAAAGTGCCTTTGGCCTATGATTCTAAACACTTAAGATTTTAAATAACTGAAATACTACTGCAAAACATATACAGGCCCTCCCCAAGTTACAAACATGATCGATTCTGTAGGATTGTTCCTAAGTTTAATTTGTGTGTAAGTCAAAACAATCACTATTTTTATGTTTACTTCCAGCCAAATGTATTTTTTAGCTTTTGATGGCATAGCAAAGGGTTAACACCCATGTGGAGTTTGCTTTGCTGTCTATGCCCCTGTTCTAAAGATTTCACCTCACTTCCTGTCCCTGTGATAATTGGGTTTTGAAAAATGTGGCTTGTTGTGGAAACAAGGATAGGTGATAAAGCTTCAATGGAGACACCTTTTCCCCATGATAACGCTTCCAGGAGTGAATTTCCCTTCTGAATTTCCCTGTTGTCTTTGCCCTAACTGTGAGTTGTATACAGTATAAGTTGGATATTTCTAACTCGGGGACTGCCTGTATAATCAAACATGGTGACTTGTGTTGTTGTGAGTTTTCTGAGCTGTGTGGGCATGTTCCAGAAGCATTCTCTACACTGTTTTCCTCATATTGCACTTTTTCCCATCTTATTGAAAGTCTAATTCCACTGTTCAGTCCCCTACAAACTCCCACAAATGTACCTTCTTCATTGCTTTCTCATCTAGAGTTTTATCATTTTATGTTGTGCATTTGGCCCACCCACTTAGATTTTCCATGTTATTTTGTACTGTTTATTTTACTTGGTTTATTTATTTTATTGTGATGTTATTTTTTGTTTATATTTTATGCTGCTGTAATATATCACTGGGCTTGGCCTCATCCAAGTCCCCTTTGGGGAGATGGTGGCGGGTATGAAGTTTATTATTATTATTATTCTTTCCTGACATTTCGCCTACATCTATGGCAGGCATCCTCAGAGGTTGTGAGGTCTGTTGGAAACTATTCAAGTGAGATTGATATATCTGTGGAGTGTCCAGGGTGGGAGAAAGAACTCTTGTCTGTTTGGGGCAAGTGTGAATGCTGCAAATAGCCACCCTTATTAGCATTGAATGCCCTTGCAGCTTCAAAGCCTGGCTGGTTGCTGCCTGGAGGAAACCTTTGTTGGGAGGTGCTAGCTGGCCCTGACTGATTCTTGTCTGGAATTCCTCTGGTTTTTGAGTGTTGCTCTTTATTTACAGTCCTGATTTTAGAGTTTTTAAAATACTGGTTGCCAGATTTTGTTCATCTTCATGCAGGTAAGGACTTGTACTTGTGAGAATCTCCCTTCAGAAATCTTATTTGTGATGTGGACACTTCCTTTGGCCACTCACCGCAGAAACCTGAGCTCCCAACCTGGAGCTGCAATAAAAACTGGGGAGGCCTTTCACTTGCGCACGAAGGGGCTGGGTAATATGTTGCTATTTTGATATTTAACAGGGGCCTCCAAGGTCACGCTCGTTCCGTCTTTTGCCTGCTCCTCCGGAACTGTGGTAAGAGTGAAGTCAAGGGGCGGAAGAGGGAGAGAAAGAGAGTAGAAAAAGGCAGGCTGAGGGGCCTTTGTGCGGAAGGAAGCAGCCGCCGCTCTCACACAATAAGAGGCTCGACTCCCTCCCTGGGAAGCCTCGCTGCCTCTCGCCGCCGCCATGTTGAGTCCCGGCCGGGTCCATGTGCGGAAGGAGCGGGGCTGCCGAGGGAGGGAGGCAAGGGGAATGGCCGGGGCGGCTGAAGCGAAGGCCTCTGTGGGAAGGGAGGGGGAGCGGGGGAATGGGGCGGGAGGGGAGCGGGGGAGGCTCCGGGCCGAGGGAGCCCCGAGAACAAAGGAGGCCTCCCCTTCCCCCCTCCCTCCCTCCCTCCCGGTCTGGGAAACAAAAGGCGCGCCGAGGGACCCGCTCCCCGCCCAGGCCCTCACCTTCTTCTTCTCCAGGTTCCGTAGCTTCTTATCGATGACGCCCAGGATTTGCTTCATGGCCTCGGTCTGCACAGAATTCGTTCCGCCCGAAGTGGCCGCCGCCGCCGTTGCTGCCGCCGCCGCCGCGACGTCGCTCACCGCTTTGCTCGCCATCGCGTTGCTGCTGGTGGTCGCCGAGGGCATCGCTTCCTGTGACTACGAGGAGGAGGAGGAGGAGAAGGAGCGCGTTACGGGCCGGAGGAGGAGAAAGAAGAAGGGGCGGGAGGGAGGCAGATGGCGGACCGCGGCGGGCGGGCGGGGATGGGGAGAGGAGAGAGAGAGCGCGAGGCACAGAAAGGACGGGCCGCCAGAGGGGACACAAAGCATGGAGGAATCGACAAACGCTCTCCCACTCGCCCGAGGTTGCTTTTTATTCCAACTGGTTGGTATTTAAAGGGACATACACACAAAAGACAGAACGCCCATTGACTCCTAAGCAGGCCTTTTCTATTCTCCCTCCTCCCGTCCTTTTTCTCCTCGAACGCGTGAGCTAGGCCGCACCTGCCGAGGCGCGCCCCCAACGATATTTAGGCAACCCTGGATTAATTACTTCGTTAGGATCCGCCGGCGAAGGAAGGAAGGATCAAACCAACCCTCTTTCTATCTATGGCGCGCGCACAGTGAGGGGAGGGGAGTGAGCTCGCGCCAACCAACCCTTTCTCTTTCTATCTCGCGCGCGCGCACGGTGTGGGGAGGGGGGGGGAGAGAAGAGAGAGATAGCTCGCGCTCGGAACTCCCCGCGTGATTGGCAGGCTCCCCGCCGGGCTCTTCCTTCTCCTCCTCACTCCCCCCGCCGCTGCTGCCCAACGCTTCCTCTCTCTCTCTCTCCTTTGCCCGCCTCCTGCTCACCGTATGAGGTGCCGGCGCCTGTGTGACTGAATGGGAATGGAGGGGGAGAGATACAGGCAAGGGAATGGCTGCGTTCACAGTCGCGGAGGGCGAATGGCCGCCTCTGCCCACTCCGGCCCGGCGCTTGCACACCGCTCCTCCTGCTAGAGACGGTGAGGCGAGAGAGAGAGAGCGAGAAGCGGGCGGGGCAGGGAGCGAGCCGAGAGGGGTCCTCAGCCGCTGGGGCTGCCGTCGCCAAGTGCCTGACTGAAAGCACAGCGGGGCGGGGCAAGGTGCTTCAGGCGCGGCGGGCGCCTAAGCGCGGACACAATAGTCAGGCGGAGGAGCTTCTGTGCTGAAAGGACCCCTTCCTGTGGGCTGGGCCTCGTTTCGAGGGATGGCTTTTCCTTGGCTTGCCCGCTTCCTTGTCTCGTCTTTTCTCGGAGCCCCTTTGTATCGCTTTGTGAACGCACTGCGGCTGCGCTCTCGCTGTACGTGGAAAGAACTCCCAGGGGACTCGGCCGAACTTGTTAGAGAGGCCTTTGGAAGCCCGCGAGTTCCAAGTGCCCTGGACTTCATATCCCAGAAGCCTCAGCTGCCCTGGCCAATGGTTAATGGATTCTGGGAGTTGGTCCAAAACACCTGGCCAGCCAAGGGTTGAGAAACACCGTAGGCCCCAGCTTCAGTTTTCAGCCTTCGGGTCTTCGAACATGTGTTGCAGGCACATGGCAAAGAATTAGGAGACAAAGACATAACGGTAATAAATCCAGAAACTTAATAAGTTTTTAAAATCTAGTTCAGTTACATTTGTGTTAGGAAACAAAACAAATAGTCACTACATTAGGTTCTTGTGGGGTTTTTTCGGGCTATAGGGCCATGTTCTAGAGGCATTTCTCCTGACGTTTCGCCTGCATCTATGGCAAGCATCCTCAGAGGTAGTGAGTCATTTGACTCGCTACCTCTGAGGATGTTTGCCATAGATGCAGGCGAAACTTCAGGAGAAATGCCTCTAGAACATGGCCTTATAGCCCGAAAAAACCCACAAGAACCTAGTGATTCCAGCCATGAAAGCCTTCGACAATACATAGTCACTACATTCGTGTTCAGCTGGTGCTTAGATTTCAGTTCATTCACAACATAACAGGTCTGGGCCAACTTTGGACCTCCAGATGTTTTGGACTTCAACTCCGACAATTCCTAACAGCCAGTAGGAATTGTGGGAGTTTAAGTCCAAAACACCTGGAGGGTCCAAGTTGGCCCAGGCCTGTACTAGAATGATGCAGAAAAATCCCAGTTTGGGGTTTTGGAGAAGCAGAGATTATTTTTGTAACCCTTACTTGCCATGCCATAAAATCACCAAATGCCATCTGATATTGGAAGCTAAGGAGGGTCAGCCCTAGTTACTAACGGTTGGAAACTCAGCAATGAATATCACACACTGCAGACTGTATTTCAGAGAAAGGAATTAGAAAAACCATGTCTAAATATTCCTTCTCTTTTTAAAGAAAAAAACCCTCTGAAATGTATGGGGTCGTCACAAATTAACAATCAACTTGAAAGACACAAGCAAAGCAATTTGAAGGCACATGTTGAGATGACAATGGGGGACTTCGCTGTTTCTATATTTATAAACTTTCTGAAGGGCAAGGCAAGTTAGGCAATATATAAACATTTTAAATACAGTATAACCCCCATATCTGGGGATACATTCCTGAACTTACTGTGGAAACTGGATAATAGCGAACCTCACTAAAATGAACAACCAGGAAGTACCATAGAATTCCTCTAGAGAACTTCCTAGAGAGGTATTTTAAGAATTTACCAACAAGATTCTATAATAACTTCCTGTGTTCTAGAAAATTTCAAGAGAGGACAGGGATTGTGTTGTAAATAAACCATGGGAATACCTCCTAAAATGTTGCCATATATTCTGTTTTGAGTGACATGACACATAAAATGCTATTTTGGTCATTACCCCCAAATTTTTAAATGTGGTTAGCAAAAGTGAGCCAATATCTTGAATGCCAGGGGAAAAAAATGAATTCACAACCCTGGAACACCATCACCAGTGATGCTGTGCTAATCTCGTTGTTATACCTTTATTGTTTATTTCAAACTGTACTCAATCTAAGAATAAATGCTTAAGTCTTCATAATTCTAAGCATTTTCACATCTCTGTGTGTAAATGTGATCTCAAGAACCCAGAAATACTGATTTATTAATGAGTTTTAAATATTTCCAGTATAAAGTGCTTTTAAGAAGGGCTTAACCTTTCCCTTTATACCTGTTATCCTGTGTGTTTTGCTTTACTCCATTATAGATAAGTATTTGTAAAATTCATCCCGCACAATACACACCAATTTAATACATTACTGAAACCCCACTCCAGTACAAAGTTAGACAACCCTAGCATGATTTGCATCATTGGACACTGATATAGTTCCCACAATGGAGCACATTGGCAAGGAAAGACTATGACTGCTAAACACATTGAGAGCATCCTTGTGAAACTAGCATGGAATCAAACAGACATTTCTTGTGGACTTATCTCATAGTTGTGCAGGCATATGACTCTTCTCCATTTTCTTTCCTGTATTGCATGAGTTTATTTATTTATTTACAATATTTCTATCCTGCCTTTTTCGAACCCAAAGGTGACTCAAGGCAGGTTACAACCATGCAGCAATTTGATGCCTAACAGTATACAATTAACAGAATTAAAACATACATTCAATAAAACCTTTAAAAACATATAAAACCAATGCCTTCATTGTTCGTCTCATTGTCCATAAATGGTTGTCTGAGCTGTTCCAATGCTCGCTTTTGTCTAATACCATGCTTGACTGTTGCATGAGATTCCGAAGGCTTGTTCAAATAGCCATGCTTTCACTTTTTCCTGGAAGGTCAACAGGGAAGGGGCTGATATAATATCCCTGGGGAGGACATTCCACAACCGAAGGGCCACCACTGAGAAGGCCCTGTCTCTCAACCCCACCAGTCGAACCTGCAAAGAAGGCGGGACTGAGAGCAGGGCCTTCCTGGATGATCTTAAACTCTTAGGTGGTTCATAGGGAGTTGGAACCATGTTGCCCTTCAGCCTGACAACATCTATGCTGACTAGAGGTGATAAAGAGCTGCACATGTAGAGAGTTGCACATGTACAGCATGTAGACAGCCACACATTCCCTATCTTGGGAAAGAAGATTATATATTACCAACTAAAGAAAACTATCAAACATTGATTTAGGTAAATGTCATTATTTTTAAATTTTATTTAGAGGGTTTTTATTTAGATGACTTCCACAATGCCTTTCATATGAGGCAGTTTTCTAACCACTGGTATAGAACATTGATCTGTCCTAATGTGGTTACTTCATTGTGAAGGACCACTCCTCCTGTAGGAACTGTATATTGAAATACACAGTATGAAAACAATTATTTGACCTGACATAATGCTGAATTTCTTGAGGCAGGCAGGAATGTGTGGTTTTGAATGAGCAAAAGCTTATTCTAATGTGCTGTGTTGTGTTGGTTTCATTGCCTTTCCCGGGCTGATGATGGTGCTTTGAGTTGAATAAGAAATTGGAAACTCAGAACCAACTGTGGCTTTGTATTGCATTAGGCTGTGAGATTCAAATAACTGATTCCTTTACTACTGTGCCAAGTGTGCCTCTACCTTTCTCAGTTGTAGCCTTTTGAATATTTTATTGATCTTGTTCCCTGAGGCATTAAGGTTTAACTTTCAGACTCACATCAGAACAATTATAATTCTATCTAATTTACAAAACTCAATCCTTTCTGAAAACATGAGTCTTATTTTACTAGAGAATATTATTATTGGGAGTTGGGATAGCCATTGTGGTATTTTGGACACAACAAAATTTAGGTTTTTGTGGGCAAAAATCTTTGGTTGTCAAATGACAACCACACTTCTACATGGTGGAGCAGTTTTGAAAAGGTTCAGTGTTTAAGGCCATTTTATTCAAGATAGCTTAGTAGAAATACTTAATTTCCATTTCTTCTTAGACATATTCACAAGAGCTTTCCCTTTGTGTATCATTTGATGGAAAGAAGTTACTCTGGTAAAATACGTATCTGACACTTAAAAAAATAATTTAACCACTGTATCAAGTCAAGTCAAATTTATTTGTATCCTGTCCCATCTCCCCTTGGGGATTCAGGGTGGCTAACAACATAGATGGCATGTTGTAAAAAGTGCTACATATAATTTGAGCACAATATGGTACCAGAAAACTCATTGTTGGTTAAAAAAAAGTGAACCACATTGAAAGCGGATTGTGAGCCCTCTTGTTGCTTTGAAGGAGAAGAGAGTTTGCAGGCATCAGTAGTGGTGGGAAAAGAAACACAAGTAGCTGAAGGAGAAGATGTGGAGCTGCGTCTGTTTTACTAATTCACAAGTTTGCGGTAGGTATGAGCAAAAGTTGGCTGTTCAAGATGATTGCAACATATATTTGGTGATATAATGCATATATACTCTTGTAAATGAAGTTTTATGCCACTGATTCTTGTATTCTTTAATGTGTTCTAGTTCCTCCATCTTGGTGCTAAATGTGTAGAAAAGGTTATAGGTTTGTGAAAAGTGGCACTTAATTTAACTAATTTTTAATTTCTTTATCCAACAATCTTAAAACTGTAAAAAGTATGGGAAAATCAGGATGATCCACTACAACATCTAAGACAAAATGTACACTAAATGTGTATTTATTAAACTACAGCAATAGTATATTAAATACTTTAGCATTTCACATAGTAGCAAAATTACTGGTTAATAAAAAACTGAGAGTTAGGAGCATCCATCAAATGTTAGAAGAGAAAGGATCACAACAGAGTGACCTAGCAAAGCGATTCCATGTATTGTTGAAGGGTTTCATGGCCGGAATCAGTGGTTTGTTGTAGGTTTTTTCAGTCTATATTGCCATGTTCTAGAGGCATTCTCTCCTGACATTTTGCCTGCATCTATGGCAAGCATCCTCAGAGGTAGAGGTATGGCAAGCATCCTCCCATTCCATAATTTTATGCCATCATCAGGCCCTTCTTTTCACCAAATTTCTAATGATGACAATCTACAGAGCAGACCCTTAAGGCAAAGAAAATGAGAAGATGGTATCCAAAGTTTCTTAATTGTATGTTGGAGATACTACACTGAATTGTTTTGGGAAATGAATGGGTAACTAATAGAAATTATGTAT